CAAACAGGCCACCAAGCTCTTGACAGTCCCATGCCCTCCTTGCTGACCCCCAGTGTTGCGGCGACTCTGCTCCCCACGTCCTGCTCACCACTAAGCAGGGATCATGCAGATCACCTGGAGGCACTTTAGCCACAGAAAGCCCTCTAACAGCTCACCTCCTGTCTTCCCACTGTCGGTAGGGGCCTGGACTTGACAGCCCCTGAGAACCAGGCTTGGGGATGCTGGGCCGGGCCTCGAAGGGGAAGAAGACCCATATTTATTGTCTCCTGCTAGAGCTGTGTCCAGCACAGGAGTCTGCCTCCACTAACTTAGGTCTGACTCTCCCTATTATGGATGAAAAGACCGAGGCTCATGGAGGCAACAGACTGGCCTGGGAGGAGGGGAAGAGTCCTGCTCAAGGCCATGGAACTCCAAAGCGGGCTTCTCCACCACCCCCGCTCCCCACCCCTGTCCTAGTTCTATCTTGCTTGTCTGGCTTGTTTGCCAAGGTCCCCATTCAGACACACAAGAGACTTGGAGTGAAGAATCAAGATGGTGGAATAGATAGTCCCCAGCGTCACTCTCTCCCATAATCAACCAATTTACAACTATTAAAAAACAGACACACAGGAGACTCAGTTCCAAGGCAAAAGACAGGTGGGGGTGGTGTGGGGGCTGGAGGGGTGATGTAAAAGGAAATCAGAAGCACAGATATCAGTGATGACAAATTCAAGATCATTCACACTGTATAACTGGGGAAACGTAGGCCTAGAGAGGTTCCATATGCCACTCCAGGCCACCCAGCCCATCCATGGTAAGGCTGGTTCAGAACCCTGTCCCTCTGAATGCACAACCTGCCCTGATGTCTGAAGTGTCTGATAGTGGGGGAGGGGGAGGCCCAGCAGGCTATAGACTGAGACAACTTGACTGCAAACAGGGACCCCAAAAAATGGGCCAGAAGGAGTGGAATGCAGGCAGTTTTGCTGGAGAGAGACCAGTGGAGCTGTAATTCAGGCACTGCAGCTGCTGGTCTGGAGCAGGGACTAGTCCCCAGCAGGGGAAGCATACCCGCCATCCGTGCCCTCTGCCCACCACAGCAACAGGGATGCTGTGGATGGCAGCCCTGGAGGCCCTTGCTGAGTCCCCAGCCAGGCTGCAGCTCTGCAAAGGGAGGGAGGTGGGAGGAGATGCTGAGTCTGGGTGCCCCCAGCCGCAGTGAGAGCAGAATGCCTAGAAAGTTCTGCTGGGCATGCCCAGTGACCTTACCTTGTAGCTGGTGGTAGGAGAGGGCAGGAGGGAGGATTCAGCCCCTGCAGGCCCAGTGGGTCGTGCCTTCCATGGCTGGGCCTGGAGAAAGGGGGCCAGGGACTGGGGCCCAGGGCCTCACTGAGGAGGAGCCAAGAGCTTCTGGGGCTCTCAGCTGGGTCTGAGGAAGATGGGGGAGTGGGAGTATTAGTCCGTTTGTGTTGCTATAACAGAAATACCTGAGACTGGGTAATTTATAAAGAACAGAGGTTTATTTGGCTTACGATTCTGGGACAGCTGCGTCTGGCACAGGCCTCAGGCTGCTTCTCATCATGGTGGAAAACAGCAGGCAGCTGGCAGGTGCAAACAGATCACATGGTGAGAGGAAGCAAGAGAGAGAGAGAGGAGGTGCCTGGGTCTTTTAAACAACCAACTCTCGAGGGAACTAATAGAGCAAGAACTCACTCATTAATCCCCCCACCTAGGGAGAGCATTAATCCATTCATGAGGGATCCGCCCCCATGACTCAAACAGCTTCCAGCACTGGGGATCAGATTTCCACATGAGTTTTTGGGGCACAACACATCCAAAGTCTATCTTGGGGCAACCAGGCCCTGCCCTGAGGGAGTTGATGGTCTTGTCCCTGACATAATTCACTGTGGTGCAGTGACAAAAGGCACCTGATGGGTGCTGATCATAGTATTAACAACAGCAACAGTGAGAAAAATGTGTGTTGAGCATAGCCAGTCACCGTGAGCCTCAGCAAGACCCTGGGAGGGAAGCACTGCTCATTACCCGTTCTACAGATAAGGTAACTGAGGCCCAGAATGATGCCTTGATGGTCTGCACACCTATGGTTGTGGGGTCTCCATTCCAGATCCCGTAGAACTTTGCTGTGCCCCTTCTCCTGGGCTCTGAGCCCCAGGTGGGTGGGGGCACTGTCTGTTGCAGTCCCCACTCTGTCCCCTGCACCGTGCTTTGAGTGCAATCCACACTCAGTCCACAACGGGTCTGGCTGCTAGTTGCTTAGAGCACAGCCTTGTGTTTGGATCCCCTTACAGGCCAGCCACTAAAAAAAAAGAAAGTCCACAATGATGAGTGACAACGAGTGGATGTGTGAAGCCATCCCCTCTGGGGGCAGACAGAGGGAACAGCCAGCTCCCCCCTCCTTTTCTACATCCAACCTTGTATCTGTATCTGGCAACACCCATGGTCTGATCTGAGCTTCACATTGTCCCAAGAGGTGGCCAAGGCCTGGAAACCTTATTTCACAGATGAGAAAATTGAGGGTCAGGGAGATTATGTGCCTTTCTTGGGGCCCCCACCAGCGAGTGGCAGGCCAGGACCCTTCCCCTCTTCCCGAAGCCTATCAGTCCTCTCTGGGCAAGGACTGGATTGGCTGCCAGGAATAAAAAACTCCACTGATAGCTAACATTTAGGAAGCACTCAGGATGTGCCAGGCATGTAGCATCTCATGTTTTTATGTAATAGCTTTATCGAGATATAATTCATATGCCATACAATTGAGCCATTTAAATTATTTAGTTCATGGTTTTTAGTATGTTCAAAGAGTTGTGCAACCATCACCACAATCAATTTTAGAACATTTTCATCACCCCCAAAAGAAACCCCATGCTCTTTAACTATCATCCTCCAATCTCCCCATCTCTAGGCAACCTTTAATCTATTTTCTGTCTCTATAGATTTGCCTATTCTGGATATTTCATATAAGTGGAATCATATAGCTAACAACCTTTTGAATAAGTTGTGATTATTATGCTCTTTTCCCAGATGGAAGTAATGAGGCTTGGACAGGTGAAATCCTTACCTAAGGCCTGGCCCGTGGCTCACTTGGGAGAATGTGGTGCTGATAACACCAAGGCCACGGGTTCAGATCAGTGAAATCCTTACCTAAGGGCTGGCCCGTGGCTCACTTGGGAGAATGTGGTGCTGATAACACCAAGGCCACGGGTTCGGATCCTTATATAGGGATGGCCGGTTAGCTCACTTGGGAGAGCGTGGTGCTGACAACACCAAGTCAAGGGTTAAGATCCCCTTACCAGTCATCTTTAAAAAAAAAGAAAGAAATCCTTACCTAGTGCTCTCAATAGCAAAGATGGGAAGGATTCAAACCCAGGCCTGCCTGACCCCAGAGGCCCTGGTCTTTGTCATTAATTCCACCAGTTAGTGAGCCTCTGAGCAAAGGGGCAGTTCTCCCCATTCTTCCCTTCCCTCCTCCCTGAGCCCAGGGCCCCACCCCCAGTCACACCCAGAAGTTCTATCAGGAAAACCCCAGGCCCAGGGAGCCCACCCAGTTCTCTTACGACCTCTGCTCTCAATCTTTCAGGCCTCAGCTATGCCACCTCTTTTGGGAAGCTCTCCCTGATTGCTCGCCTTTCTTGGCACTCCCACTGCCCATCAGCATTTGTCCATAGAGAATCAGGCAGCATGGTCCCCTCTGTGCGGATGGGAAACTGAGGCCCCAGAGAGGTATTTGGGGTCTTCCAGTGAGGCCAGGCAGAGTGGGGACCAGGGCCAGATCCCTGATTCCCACACCAGTGCTTTTCCCCCTGGACTGTTCCAAGGAAGGGGAGTGAGCACCATACTGTGACTCTGGGTGCCGGGGTCAGGTCCTGGCTCCAGGGAAGCCAACACACAGCTTGGGCCAGGCTCCAGAAGGTCTCATCTTCTCCAGCCTCACCCCACCCTGAGAAGTGGTGCTACCTAGTCCCTGGGTAAGGGGAGAAACTGAGTCTCAGCAAGGATAGTGGTCTGTCCAAGGCCACAGGCACTGAGTCAGGATTCACCTGCTGACTCTCAACTTGCCCCCTGCCAAACACTGGGTCAGAAGTCCCAGTTTGAGGCTCTCATGGCCCCTGGACTTGCTCATCTATCAGCTTTTATGGAATTGGCCCCATACTTGTTGGTGTTCCTTACAAGGGGAGCTGGGAGCCCATCTTCATGGCTGTATTCCCAGTGCAGGGCTGAGCCTGATACAGGTCTCAGGAAATGTTTGTTGAATGAATGTGTGATAGAAGGAGAGAAGGGAGAAATGGAGTCTGGGGGTCAGTTCTTCTGACTCCTAAATCAAGAGGTCTTCTGACATTTTGGGGTCTTATGCCTCGAGAGTCACCCACACAATCCTGCACAGTTTTGAAGGCTCCCAGCCCCTTGCAGCTCACACACGGGCCCCCAGGAGTTGAGTCACCATACTGTAGGTTGAGAACCCTGACCCAGGCCACACAGCTGCTGCAGGGACACAACTGAATTATCCTGCACAGTTTTGAAGGCTCCTAGCCCCTTGCAGCTCACCCACGGGCCCCCAGGAGTTGAGTCCCCATACTGTAGGTTGAGAACCCTGACCCAGGCCACACAGCTGCTGCAGGGACACAACTGAATGCACTTCATACAAGCCTGAGGCACAGCACGCACTTCAGTTACCTCATCTCAAACCACAAGGCCACGCCGAGCTCCTGCACACAGTGCAGCAGTCCTGACACCACTCCTCCACTTCCTCTGTCCTCAAACAGCCACTGCCCCTCCCTAAGGGCTGCTGCCAGCCAGGGACGTGCTAGAGTGCCCGTGAATACCACCTCAGGCCTGGCAGCCAGCGCCAGCAGCCTCAGGGGTGGGGGCTGCCAGAGTTCCAAATTCAGATCGTCTGCTGACTCAGCAGGACCCTCCCTGCTAAAAACCATCTGGGGCTCAGGGGGCGAAGGATGAGCATGGTCCAAAGCTCAGAAGCTCCCCCAGTGCCCAGACCAATGCTGCAGACATAACCAGTAACAGTTGTGTTTATTGAGGGTTTTCTAGGTGAGAAATGGTGTTAGGTTTTTTCCATGTTTTCTCATCTCACGGAATTCCACATGAAGCTGGTACTATTAGCACCCCATTTTACAGAGGCAGAAATTGAGGCACAGAGAGATCCCTCGCCCGAGGTGCCTCACTGGGAAGGGGGAGTGCTGGCATTCAGCCTTGGACCGTCTGACCTCGGAGGTGGGCTCCCAACCATCAGGAGAGTGAGCCTCCCCCTGTAGGTACTGCTGACTGTTGGGAGGTGACTGCTCTCCTTCACCCACGCAGGGGGTCTATCATTGGCAGCCTCATGCCAGGGATGTTCTGAGTAAGATGGCAGATTCACGTTCATTACAAATTCTCAAAGGAGCTCAGTTTGCTGAGCCTCAGGTTGTCTCTTCCTCTGCAGACATCTGCAGTCATCAAATATTCAAGCCCGAAAGCACCCTGGTGATTGGGATTGTCTTGTCTCTACGTTTTACTAATGGGGAAATTTAGGCCCAGAGATACAGGGACATGGCCACGGCATGCCTGAGTCACAGGTAATTAGGAACAAATGGAGTTCTCAAACTCAGGTCTCCCAACATGATGTCAATACTTCCTAAAATCAAAGAACATCAGCTAGGGAAAGAATGTCCACAGCCTTCCAGTCCAAGACTCTCATCTTGCAGAAGAGCAAACTGAGGCCCAAAGGGAAGTGGAGTCTTCATACGAGTGACACACAGGCAAGCAGAGTGAGCCAGCGATGAGCTTAAAAGTTCATTTCTTGCTGAACATATGAGGTGACCTCTCTGACCCCTTCTGTGAAATGGAAACAACCAAAGTTCTAGCATGGAATACTCTTAGCCCAGCACATAGTGAATGCTCAATGCATGGTATATATTATTAATACTAGGCCCTTGTCATTTTCCCTCTGCCTTCCAGGTAAGACATTTCTCAGGACAGTATAATGGGTAAGACTGGGGACTGCTGCTTCAGGCATTTGTGAGCACAGTAGCAACTCAGCGACTCTGAGCCTCAAATGCCTCATCAGTAAACTGGTGATGGCAATAACAGTACCTACCATGGGCCGGCCCGTGGCTCACTCGGGAGAGTGCGGTGCTGATAACACCAAGGCCGCGGGTTCGGATCCCAGATAGGGATGGCCGGTTTGCTCACTGGCTGAGTGTGGTGCTGACAACACCAAGCCAAGGGTTGAGATCCCCTTACCGGTCATCCTTATATGGGATAAAAAATAAATAAATAAATAACAGTACCTACCAGACAGGGCTATGGCGAGGTAGAAATAATGCAGGTGACTGACTGGCTTCACATAAAGCCAGGCACATAGTAAGTGCTCAATAAATGTGTGCTGCTACTGTTACCTTTTACTCCCATGACCATGCCTATGTCTGTCACCATCTCAGGCTGCAGGGCACCTGGTCTACCAAGAAAGGGCTGATCTTCAACCTCCATGACTCTGTAGTCTCAGAAGTAATAACGCAGCAAGGGACGGAGCTCCCAGAGCATCCACACTGGCTTGCCTGACCCAGGTCTGATTTCTCAGGTGCCTGCTTGGGGTCAGGAATTCTGAAAATGCTGAACGAGTCTATGGCCATACCACCCTGAATGTGCTGGATCTCGTCTGAAAATGCTGAACGAAATCCCAATGTTTGCAGTGGTGAAAATGTCCTGGAAGATCTCCCACTTTTCAGATGCAGAAACTGAGTTCTGGGGAGTTGGAGGTTGTTGTCCACGGACACACAGACACCAGGACAGAGGCCCAGGACTTGATGCACCAGCGTCCCGCTGGTGGCACTGGCCCCAAGGAAGACCCCCCTTCCTGAGGAAGAGCGCCGGCCACGCCCCTGACTGGGCCCCGTCCCCTCTGCTGGAGGCGACCCCGCGTCGTCCCCACCCCCTTGGAGTAAGCCACCGCCATGCGTTATGACGAAAGAAGCAAGGGCAGCCAATCCATCACCACCTTTTCACAGTTCCCGGGGATACATCTGACCCAAAACCGCAGCGACCAGGGCCGTAGGGGAGGTCGAGGCCGGGCTGAAGGTGGAGCGCTGGGCAACCTTCGGGCTCTCGGGCGTGTCTGGCGCGGAGGGGCGCGGCTGGCCGTGGCGCAGGCGTGTCTGCCGCCGCCTGCAGGGGGCGCTGTTGCCAGTGAGTCTCTGTCAAGCAGAGAGCGGGCCTGGTTAGTGTGCAGAGGCAGAGAATGGGTTCTGTAGTCCCCAAGCCTCAGTTCCCTCCCTCCCCTGGAAAGTGGATTTGATGACAGATCTTGAGGCTGTAATGGGACCCGGGTAAGTTTATAAAAGGAACGAGAAGGCACACTGATAAATAAGCAAGTTACTTTCTTCATTTTATTTTTTTTATAAGCAAGTTACTTAAACGCTTTATGTTTCAGTTTATTCATGTATAAATGGGGATCACTATACCTTCCTTTTGTGAGGATTGCAAACGTGTGGGAAAAATACATATAAAGAGTCCGGCACCTTGTAAGCACCCATTAAATGACAGTGATTGTGATACTGGGCAAAGCACCCTGCCAAGCCAGGAAACAACGTCCTAGTCTTGGTTCCTGCCCTCACGGAGCTCCAATCGCAGAACTACAGGCAGCTGCAACCTGCGGTGAGAGCACTGGCTGCGACTCAGACCTGCCACTGACCACTGGGCCTGCTTCCTCACCTGTACAAGTGATGGTCTCTAAGGCACTCTGAGCCCAGCTTTCTTCATCTCTGTCCTATGAAATGCAGCCCAAGATGGCTTATAATTAAACATATGACATGGAGTGGAGTCTATGGGAAGTCACTGCTAACTGGCATTTATTCATTCAACAAACTTTACTAGTACTCTGGTACCAGGCCCTGGGGATACAACATTGAATAAGAGACGATGGCTCTTGCCCCTATGGAGCTCACAGTCCAGCTAGGAGACAAACAGCCCTTTAGAATACCATGTTAGGGAGGGCTGGCCAGTTAGCTCAGCTGGTTAGAGTGCAGTGTTAGGAACACTGAGGTCAAGGGCCCGGATCCTGGGAACACTTATTCTATTTTATAGAATGAAGATTCACCTGATTCTAGAATCACAATAAAGCCAATCTGGAACTTCGAAAAAAAGAGGGGTGGGGGCTCAGACCCCTGTACTGGCGAGCTGCCAAAAAAAAAAAAAAAAAAAATGGGGGGAAAGCAGGGGGCTGGGGGGGTCCAAAGGAAGCAGCTATCAAAACCTTGGGGCTTACTGAAAGCTCCTTG